GCTTCATGCTGTCCGCTGCGAGCATTTTTAGACACAGCAAACACACCGGTCTTTCCTCTTCTCCAACTGTAGTCACAGTGAAGCCAAGCGCTAAATACGCTTCGTCGTATTTCCTCTTCTTAGCTTTCGGTTGACTTTCTGTTGTCTCATTATCTTTGTCTCTCTCCGCTTTTCTTTTCATCCCTGTGAAAAACTTTTTCATGTTGGGGGTTGTTGAATAACGGAGGCCATAGACAGAACGCAGTCGGAGCTTTTTGTTGACTTAACACTGCTAACCAAGGCAAACCTGTTGTCTTGTAAGTCGTAAAATGTTGCACTGTCGCAAACGTGACAGAAGTAACAATGAGAGCGCCACTGCCGCCTACTGTGCGCAATTACACTTTATACTAGTACGGCCAAAAAAAAAGCCTGTTCCCCAGGATCACACGCGCCCCCCCAGGTATCGCACCGCGCCCCCCAAAGGGGGCGCGCCCCACTATTTGAGAAGCACTGGTCTTAAATGAACATTGAGAAATGTATAATGTTGCTCTAAAGCTCTTTTAAAGTGGCTTTAGACTAGAATAGCCTAATATTCTGATGGCAGAAACTCGTCGAGAGCCACAGGAAGTTTTCATTTGATCATGTTTGTTTGGTGTCCATGCATCCTTAAAAAGTCTTAAATTTACACACCTAAAATTAAAGCCTTAAAATGGCTTAAATTTATTGTAAAACAGCAAGGTGGCCTTTAATATGCTACTTACAAGTCTTAAATTTTGTCTCGACTGAAGTATTTAATCTAATATATTCTGTGTTCTGTTTTTTCCAACGGGAAAAAGTTTGAGTCACACTCAGACATCTTTAGCTCAGGCTACCGCTAACTAGCAGCTAACAAATCCTTGCTAGCTAACTAGCTATCTTGGAAGCTTTATTGCATTTATTATTACCAGTTGGCTGGACAAAGTTTGTTCATTTTTGTGGAGATATAAATAAATTCATAATGGTCTTAAAATGTCTTTAAGTTGGTGAAACCTTCAGAAACTCTGTTTGATTTCATTTGACCCTGAATTGATTTGAGAAAATCTAAAGTAAATCATTCTGGCAACATCCATTCTCATGATAAGTGGGTGGAAATTTGTATCCACATCAAAACCAGTTGAAGTAATCCCTGAAAACCAGTATGAAGTACTTCAGTAAAGCTTTAAGCTACAAGCCAGTTTGCTGTGACTCAGAACAGCCACTCCTAAAATCATCTCAGGTCACAAAACTGCTGACTAGCAACTTCTTAGCATGCCCAGATGCAGCAGAAAACATCAGTGTCCTATTTAGGAGCTGCTGCCACAGAAAGTTCTAACCACTGCTCACCCAGCGGGCGTCGCAGACCTTAACTCTGCTGGCTGTGTGGGGAGGGAAACAATTGACTGAGACGACAACCTGCAGGTTCTTTACCTGTTCTTAGTTTCCTGGGAAAACTTTGAGTCCAGCAGAAACTCAAAGGTTGCTGGTTAGAACATGTTATGTTTGGATTTATTGCAAATAAAAGTTTCATGAATGAGAATTGGTGACTGGGCCGGTCGCAACAGTCAATAAATCAGTTAATCACATAATAAATTAAAACGGGGTCAAACATTTTCATTGATCATTTTTCTCTCTCTTTCTACCAGATAATAAAACTTCAGTTTGGGGCTTTGGTCTCAACTCGCCTGCTTTTAGTAGGACAATGTTGTTTTCTGAGACTTCATCATTCATTTTAGTTGTTCTTTAAAATATCTTCCAGCTCCAGTGTTAATTTTTTTTATCAGACTTTAAATTTATTGATCTTTGAGAATGTGTTCTTGCTCTATTATTATTATAATGCAATATTATTGTTTATTGCAGTGACTTCTGGGACACTTTATCATCCAACAAAATTCATCTTGACAGGCCGATTGGTGATATAACGTTAATCTAAGAACTAAAGCCTCCCAGAAGCTCCTGAGAAACATTTTGTTTCAGGGATTTCTGTGAATTTACTAATAAATACACACATTTTGAATTGTTTTATAAATTACTGTCTCTCCTGTAATAAATAGGGTTTATTCTGAACGAGCTTTAACAGCAGCAGCATTTCAAAGCAAAGCAAAAATAAACCACTGGCACATATTCGGTTTCATTTCCAAGCTTTTAAAGTTGTGCGTCAATGAAACGATACTCATTTAAACGGTTTCTGTGTTATAACGGCAGCCGATACTAATGAATCGCTGACATCAGCAGCGAGTCGGCCTCTGCAAACGTCTCACTCGTCTCAATTTTGTCCCGTTTTCTTGCACAAAACCCAAAATTATTCGTAAAGTTGATGTTGATGCGTTTAGAGTGTTGTGAGAAAAAACTGTAAAATACTTCTGCTAGCTTTTAAATTGTCAAACATTTGGTTGACTCTGGTTCTGGTTCTGGTTCTGGTTTGGTCAGCACCTCCAGAACCAAACCTGGAGAATCAGCATTCAGCTTCTACGCTCCTCTGATCCAGAACAGACCTCCAGAAAACTGCAAAACTGCTGAAACACAGTCTTTATATTCCCTTAGTTTACCAGTGGAGTGTAATATTTGTTGCTTTTTGTTTTCTTTCTAATCATGTGAAGCACTTTGAATTATTACCCTGTTGACAACTCACATGGAACTTCATTTAACAAATTGATATTAAAATAAATATTTGTTATACATCTTATTTACACAATCCAGCCCAAAGATTATATTATTTAGAAAATTAACACTCAACTAACGTATACTTAAAAAAATTACAGGCAAAATGATGGATTGGTTCAGAAAAATAACCGATATGAATAATGAGAATATCTCCCATTAGCGCCACCTATTGGTGTTTTCCCAATTAAACTCTCGCCAGTTTCCAGTTTGGTTTTAGTTAGACCATGCTGACTTAATAAAACACCATTTGCTGAAAAACAACCAAGTCTGGGTAGTAATTAAACCAAAACTGTACAAAATATTTCACATTCAATAGTGGCGTTCTTTAATTTCACACCGTTCAAATTCACTGGAGAAATGCCACCTTACGGCATTTCAGGCAACACAATGTTTATTTTTTTATTTTAAAAAAAATTAATTCTTTATGTCCATATTTGGATGTATTTCTGGTATTGCATAGAAAAGGCTTATTTAGTTTTATAAAAAAACTGCAAACTACGGCAATAAATTCAGCCGATCAACAATCAGAATCATTTCTAGATTTTTTTGGTTATTAAAATAATTATTAGTTCAGCCAATGTTCCCTCTGATTGTTTAGCAAACACACAAGCGTCCTGAGCACACTGAGGCCCACTGTGGGCATCATCAGTGTGCACGGCGTGGCCACGCACAACTATCACACCTGTTATAAATCTGGGATCATAGAAAGTTTCATGGCTTATTAAAAGAATCAGATTAGAGCAGCAATTTTAATTTGTTTGCTTTTAATTTATGTGATTTTCCCAATTAAAATGAAAAAGAAATCATTGCTTTTCATGAGATGCATCGTATGAGTCCTGCTTTAACCAGAGTGAGAACGAGACATTGCACCATAACTGTTTGTTCATATTAAAATATTCACATTTTGCACAATAAAATGTTTTCTGTAGCTTGTGATGCAGTATAAATTCTTGTAAAATCTTTAATTACACAGTTTTTTCACGCCTGGCCTTCTCATTTCTCCAGTGGTTGTACACTTTGCCCAGGTTGATGGTCAGTCTGCTTCTTGCTTTATGTGCTTGAATTCAGCATATTGACTGTTAAAGGCCTCCATAATCTGTGGGTGGAGGAGAATGGCCTCAGACGTCTTTTCCAGTGTACAATGTCTCCTTATCCATAGTCAAAAGTCTGAACTCAATGCTTCAATATCAAATGCAGACTTTAATTCATGCTCTGATAAACGAGCATCGATGTGATCACAGAGCTTTCTAATAAAAAGAATAATAGTAACAGTGACGCGGTCTCTCCACTGAACACTGCACTGTTCTAGTTGCACAAACTCCGACGGCCATTTGATCTTAGTGCATTTCTTTTTTACTTTGTCTTGGTGAGTGGATGTCCCACTGAGACATGATAAGGTGTTAGCTTTCACGTCTCTTAACTTCGTCGCACTATTCTTACCTTCACGGTGCCACAGCGCGTATGACCAAGGCACTACACAAATAGCAAGCGATGATTGGCTGCATAGCGAAAGTGAACCGTATCGTATCATTGGCTGGATTCCTGTCACTCACTTGGTTCGATCGCAAAGTAGTACAGAAAAAAGTCATTGGTCCATAGTCAAAACCTGATGTCTGAGCTCAATGTCCAGTTTACGTTGGACTTTATTTTATGCGCTACGTAGATTTTCTTGTGCGCTGAGAAGATGCGAGCAGTGCTCGATTATGCAGGCGCAGTTTAAAGGGAACGTTGGTTGCAGCCCTGCTTCGATCCACCTGCTTTTCTAGGTTTTTCTGAGGAAAAGCTAAGAAAAGCAGCCATCTTGTTTCACAGATTTTATTTAGTTTCATTTTTATTTCAGTCAGAGATTAATATGAATTTTCTCCTTAATAAATGAAGGTTGTCATCCGCAAAAAAGATGCACTTAAAAATTTAGAAACTAGAAGAATATAATTAATATACATAAGAAACAGTAAAGTAACGAACTGATCCCTGTGGTACTCCACAACTAATATGGTAATAAACAGCAGATTTTCTATTATTAATCTCTACAAACTCATGTCCTCTGACTCCATTTTCTGTCCAGTAATATTTTATGATCGTTCGTATCAAAGGCTACAGAAATACTAAATATTTTGGGGGGGTTTAAATCTCTTGCTGTGAAATTTCTTCTGCCAGTTAAATTGCAGTTAAAGTTTGTGTTTCATAGATGTCATTTAGTGAGAAGAAAACAAACAAATAATGATTTTTTTAAGTTAAATAAAATAAAATGTGACCCATCAGTGTTTTCTGGTGATAAACTGTTTCTGTATAGAGATAAAAAAACAAATCACAAGACTTTAATCAAAGTATTTCTTCTTTATTTTAAAAACGTAACCAATAAAACATATAGCAAGCAGTTCAATGAGTACAACCAAGTTGACTGACGTTCAAATACTGTTAACTGTCTTAAAATTCAGCCATGAAATGGCAACAATATAATGAACACCAAAACCTTCTCAGCTCCGGCATTCAACAACAAACCGATCAAAAAGTATAAATATTTTAGGAGCAATAATAAAAAAAGAAATTTATTATAATTTGCAATTAAATAGACCAATAAATAAAAGTACAAAAGTTGCTGCAATAAAAATTTAAATAAAATAAATATGTTAGGACAGAAGCCGTCGGGGAATCAGTTCCTGGCGGTGGCGTTGGCGGCGGCTCTGGGCTCCTTGCAGAAATCGTGCAGGTACGTAAAAAGGATGTCGATTTCTCCAACAGCTTTGTTGATGCCGCGCTCGCCCTCCATCTGAACAAAACCATAAAAAGGAACATTTAGTAAATCAATTTAACAACTAAATCCACACATGGATTAATAATGGAAACTAATTTTATTTCTTAAATGGTTTTCAGATTTGGACTTTTGTTAATAGTACAAGTTCTTCTGTAGAGTATTATATTTCTAATAAAACATATAACAAGCAGTTTTTTGTTTGTTAAAGTTTAACATTGTTGTTAACATTTTTGACAACATCATAAAGTTCACACTTGGGAGGTTGATGGAATTATAAATTGAGATACAATTTAATCTTCAGCCTTTATTCAAAAGCATGAAAGGCCATTTTTGCAAAAACTCAACTCTCACAAAGTATTTAGCTTTTAGTGCAAATATCTTAGTAGGCTTGAAAAAATATATATATGAGTTTGTTTCATGTAAATGAAAAGTCAGAATATTTCATTAAGAAGACATTTTTCCCATATCATAAAATGAAATAATCTGGCAATGGAAGTAGAACATTTTCATCAATATTAAGAAATTATTGACTTAAAATGAGCTCTTATATATTCTTGAAAAGATTCTTAGTTTTGTCCTATTCCAAGTTTCTGGTCAAGTCAAAGTTTATTTATCCAGCATATTTACAGCAAACTCTGCTGACCAAAATGCTTCACACCAATTAAAATTAACAAATAAAGAAAAGAAATTAATAATCTGAACAGAAATCATTCATTGGCAGTAATTTTCAAAAAATTTGAATCAATTTTTACTTTTTGTAAAATATTTACTCTAGAAACCAGAGTAAAACCCCTTGGTAAGATTTTGCAATTATTAAAGGAGTTAAATAAGGACTTTATTTAATATGTTGCTTTTATTTTTTTTCTGCTGCAAAGATAAAACCCAGGCAGCTTTAAAGAAGTAATAGAATCAGACAAAGTGCTGAAATTATGAACTCACCCTCTCCAGCTTCCTGCGAAACTCGACGGCGTGGTGATGGTCGTGGTAGTGAGTGACGTTCTGCAGACAGAGGAAGATTCAGAGGGTTATCAGTTTGATCTTTCTGTCTGTGAGCGCGAACCGCAGGGAGTCGTTATCAGCGACAGAATCGACCGCAGCGACAGAAAAGAGGCGGTTTCACGTCTGTTCTGCAGCCCTGATATGATGTACAGTTCTAGCCTCAGACTGTGGCGCTTCCTGTGCAGATTTATGAAAGAAATGAAGACTTACGCAGCCTTGGGTCTGCAGGTCGCTGCTGACGCGGTGGAGGTCGGTCTGTAGCTGGTGCATGCTTGGATGCTTCCCGCTATATTTGTGCAGGATGTTGTTCAAGTAGAAGTCGAGGATGTTGGCGTGGAGGCAGCAGATCTCCATGTGGTTCTGGAGGAGACAGAGATCTTCAGTAAAGGTTCGGCTCTAATGGAAATCTTTTAGCTGAATGGGAACCAGACTCACCTGGTCGGTGTTGACTCTGGGCATCAGCCTGATGCTGGTGTCTTCCTCCAGCTCTTTCCTCTGACCCTGAAACCAGAAATAAACACATTTAATCAATCAAAGCCACTCAGAAAACATACGCCATGTTCTTTTTTGCGTGAACTTACATCCTGCGACACTCTGTGGATAGCCTCTTGCGTCCGTGGGTCGTTCAGCGGCGCGGAGAGGTGCTCTTGGTGCACGGGGTGCGACACCACCTGCTCGGTCCAGCCGATCAGGAACAGGACGGCGAGCGCGGCAGTGGCTGTTCGCAGGCAGGAGAGGATCGTAGCGTTGTCGAGCTTCATGGTGATTCGTTCGTGGAGAGCAGAGACGTTTCAGCTGAAAGAAAAAAACAGAAATGTTTCAAAAACTGCAGCAGGTGTTGGAGGAAGCAGGTCTGCTGCTGAGTGTTCACCAACCTGTCTGCAGGTGCTGTAGTGAAGATGCTAGAGTGTCTCGGCCCTTTATAGTGATCAACCCTCCGCCCCCACTCCAAGAATCTAGGACAAGCAAAAAACCCCAGCACACACACGCAAACACACACACAGGTCAACGCTGGTCTGCCTTGTTTACTGTTAACAACACAAGGAGGAAATTACTTGTCATTCAAGGTGTGACGGCTAATATTACTCCTTACCTATGTGTATAAAAATATTTTAATTATACTTCTGCGTACAATTTCCTCTTTGTATCTATTTTTGTGTATGTACGTACGTGTGTGTGTGTGTGTGTGCGCGCGCGCGCATCAATTCCCAGGTGAGTCAAAAGCTGGAAATGACTGATTATTCCCCTAGCAGGAAAAAAAACCGTGTTCACATCGGCTCTGCTTACAAGTTAAGGTGGCGGGGTTATTGGCGGGGTTATTGTTACAGTTTGGAGAACAATTAGCATGGCGGAGCGTGTTTCACTGCTGCAAACTCATTACTGCGTGAAAACAAAACGCTAAAATGTGCATCAAAACTGACCTACTAAAACTAATCAGAACGAATTAATCAGCCATGATGTCACTGCATGACGTTTCGTCTAATTATTTACCTCTGAATGGAAAATGCCTTGTTGGCTTCATAGTTTGCTGATTTATGTCAAAAAGTCACCACAGTTTATTTGCAACAATGACCTTTCACCTCGCAGCAACAGAAGCGTAGATGTTATGTAACCTGGCTTTGGCACAGAAATGGTTTTTTAGATCAGTGTCAGCTGTTGAATGGAGAGCAGCCCTTTATTTATTCAAGTGGGACTTGAATCTGTTTATTAATCAGTGCCAACTTGGCTGAGCCTCACTTGGATAACTAACAACAAAAACTATTGTAAAATCCCAAGAAGTCGCCTTAAATGAAGTTGAGAAAAATTTAATTTGGTTGTAAGATTTTTTCCCTGATTACATAAACGGGTAGACGTCTTTTAAAACTAATTCACAATGCTTTCTAAGTACCAACATTGCTTTTCCCATCAGCCGTTCAAGCTTTCCTGGTTCCGCCTTTAAAGATCAAGTGGCTCCTTTCTTTGTGTTTTCCCTCTTATTGTGTTGGTTGTGGGTGTGAATCCCACTGAGGTGTAAAGGTTTTCTAAACTGTGGTATCAGGGGAGAAATTGCCTCATCTAGTAAAATACAACAGTAAGAGACACTTAGAGATGAGCAAATGGGTTTTCTGCAAGATTTATGGTCAAAAATGGTGATTTTATGCAAAATGCATATCAGAAACATACAAAAGTTTTTATATGTTGGTCAAAACACCAGAATGAAAAGTTTGATCAACTGGTAGAAAAAGATATCAAGAACAATTGTAAATCATGCAATGATTCATGCAATTAATTAGATTAATTGCATTCATTTAATTAATGCAATTAAATTATTTATTGCTTTTTATGAAAAGCCTGTTCATCAAGCCCTTGAAATTATTTTAGAAATATGTTAATTACAGGTCTTAAATTTTGTAGTGGTAAGACTATCTAATCTCAGATATTTTACTTTGTGCAAAAGTTTGAGTTGCCCTCAAACATCTCCGTTGCGTTCTGTAGAGACTAACGGAGGCTAACGCTAACTAGAAGCTAATGTATCATTGCTAGCTAGCGTTTTTTGCAGCTATCATGGGTCAAGTGCAAATTTCATCTCCAGATGATTTTTGTTCTCACTCATTTCTATGACGCCAAGTGCATTCTGTGCAAAAAGTGTTCGGCACCAAAGGGGTTAAGCCTCAATCAATCAATCAATCAATCAATCAATCAATCAATCAATCAGGAAGTTTATTTCAGCAGCAAGGCAGTTCAAAGTGTTTTACATCATAAAAACAATCAATAATTAAGAAACCAGTGACAAACGTTACATTTTGACGAGCACCATGATCATCAACACGAGTCGAATATGTTGGTCAATTTTAAATGTGTTATGGTTCAAAAGCAACTCTGAAAACTCTGTGGAGCTTGAGCCTCTAAAAGACGTCGGCACGGCTAAAGCTCCCCAGAAAACAGTCACCGCCACTGCTACATTTGAAGTCAGAGATTTAGTGGACTTACTGGTCTTAAATTTAATCCCCTGTGGTCTTAAAATGCCGTTTCAAGTCTTAAATTTGACTTGGTAAAACTTGCAGACCTGCATCCTTTGGAGTCAGTTTACATCACAGTAATGCCTCCCAGTAACGCGTCCTTCTCTTCCCCGATTTTATAGAACGAGTCTTGTGCGTCCTTCGCATCCCACCGTATCCCAAGATGCATTGTGGGCAAAATGGGAGATTTTATCAAATTTTTTGCTCATGAAGCGATTTTTATAAGCTCTAACTGTGACAATATAGAAATGAAAAGCTCTTGTCATTTCCCAACACGTTTTTCTTATTCATCATTTCAGTAAAAATATTCAAATTATCCAACAAAGATTGAATTAACTTGAGTCACAGGAAAAAATCTGATGGCCAGATAATCTCAGATTATCTCTGAATCAGATTTTTTTTTTAAATGGAGGCAAATAATTTTACAACATAATGACAGAAACAACCATGAAAACACAGGATTATGACCTACAAATGAAAACAAAGATAAAATCTATCAGTGCTATCGCATTGCTGAACACAATGTTATGTATCAATTTATGGTCAAAATTTAAACATAAGCTCGTAGTTGGATTTAGCCGATTTCAGCTGCGATCAAAAGCAAGTTGATCATTGATGTGCAAGGTCTTCTGAAACTACGTTGTGGTTCTTTTTGCTGGAACTTTTTTTATTGTTTCAAATGAAACTGACAGAATAACTCGTAGCATCGGCTCTGTGTCACCCAAGACGTCCCCGCTGGTGACCCGTTGACACATTTTCTGTCTGTTTTGAGAAAGCAGCGTAAATCCAGAGCGCCGAGTCAGCAAAGACAAAAAAGAAAGAAAGACTTAAACACAAATCCAGAGAAATTTTATGTTGTCAGGAGGAAGTTAGTGGAGCTGAAACTGGTTTAAATGACTTTATATTTATGTTCTGCTCAGTTTTAAAAGTTGAAATGTTCAGATTTGCACAATGTGACCACAAACTGAACTTTCCGATTGATAGCATATCCTGTTGCCCTAAAACTCAGTGTCACGCAGTGGAGTATCAGAAACCTGAACCCTTTACACAAACACAATGTCTTACCATCTCATGCAGTAACAATGCATCCAGGCTGCACTGCAGAAAATAAAGAATAATAAAATGTTTTGAGGAGCAAAAACTAATTTTCCATTTTTTGAATTTCATTAAACCTGTTAATATTATGACATAATACAAGCTGATTACAGCATCTGGCTCTCAAGAGACAAGAGGAACCGGCAATTTAACCAACAACTGTCCTACAACTCAAATCAAACTCAGGAAGTTACTGCTGTAAAACCCTCAACTGGAAATTACAGTAATGTCTGTTTAGATTATTATTTTTCATCCCAAATAGTTTATCTTGCTAATAGTTTGAATTATTAGACGTCTATTCCTGTGTTTTCAGATCTAATACGTTACAGTTCAAATGGAAGATCAATAAGTGTTTATTTTGTCAACATCACATCAATTAATTTCACTTCTAAGTCAAACTAATTGCAACAAAAACTTTTGCGATTGAAGGTAATTTTAATATGTCAAAATAAAACATTTTGCTGGACAATAAATTGTCTTATTACTATAGAAGATAATATTGTGTTTTTGAGTTTTCAAGTAATCTAATGAAAGTGACAATAGAAATTCGGTCTCTCAAAAAAATATGAACTTTAGTTTTGTAAAGAATTAGACGGCATTTTAAAAATCCAAAATATAACAATAAACAAAAATGAAACCATAAGTACTATGGATTATCAAAAAATATTAATCATCGGGATGAAATTATTGCAATTAGTTTCTTATTGCCACAGGCTTAGAAAGACAGAAAGTTTATGAAACGGTTTTAATGTAAAACGTTTCGTTCAGGCTCATGAAAAGTAGATTAATACGACTATTTCCCAGAATTAGTCTCATAATGACCAGAATTAGGTCATTATTATGTTAGAGATTATATGCAAAATTTGGCTTGAGTCCATTCTCATAAACAAAGCAGCTAATGACTAATGTTTCGTTTTCTGTTACGTCTGTGGGAGATTTTGTGAAATCTGTGAAAGTCCTCTCGTCAATCAAACGACTGAGACGAGGATTTGTGTTCGGAGTTGTTTCCGCTCCATCCTGTGACGGACGGAGCGACGTCACAGGAGCGCCCGCCGCCAGCTCAGCGCTGTTTGTTCTGCTCTGAGTTAATGAGGGGAATTCACGGTCAGCCGCCGCTCTGCAGCACGGACACACCTGGAGGCGTGGCCAGGTGTGTTTGTTCTGCCGCAGCGTCACGGCGGAGCGTGGAAAAAGTTCAGTGTGGAAATTCCTGCTTTAATTAAGATCTCTGAACACAGATTTATTGCACTGGTTTAACTCCAGTGAACTGTAAAACCTAAATAAAAACAGAATCATTTCAGTTTTTATTTATATTCTACATGTTGTCCCAGCTCAGCCTGTCGCAATAATCAATCAATAATCATTCTGATGATTTTTTTTTTGAAGGACAATTTTCTTACAATCCGTTTTTTTTATAGTTTTGTGTTATTTAAAAAGTCTTTCTATTCTGGCATTATTTACAAAATATAAATTTATTGATTTTTGGGTTAGGGTTAAAAGTAAAAAAAAAACCTTTTCTGTTTATTGCAATAATTTGAGACAGTTTCATCCAGTAAAATGTTATCTATTCTTCATCGGGTGTTATTTTTAAAAGTTTATCCACTTTACTGTCAGGTTTTGATGCTTACTGCCCTCTTGTGGCAACATTTCAAACGACAACAACAAAATGCTTGACGATTCTGGATAGATTCATGTTAAACAGTTTAGTTTTACAGTTCTGCCCAGCAGGTGGCGCTAATCTAAATATCAAACCAAAGCATTTTATTTCCTTCAGCAGAGACAGGCCAAAAGTATTCATACAGCAGGCTTTGTTTGTTTTTGACTGTCTTTATATCAGAACACAATGGATTCATTTGTAATGTGCTGCTGAAATTAAACCCAATTTTCCAAAAACACAATAATTCATGACTTTTAAAAGTGAATTACTTTCTCACAAAGTGCCAGCTCGGTTCAAATAGAACACAAAATCATAAAAACTGTTTGTTGTATTTACTCAAGTTTTCTATGTTAAAAATCCCAAAACCAGAAAAAAAACAAGCAACCAATGTATTGATAAAAAAAATAATTTAATTGAGTAATTTTCCTTCAACTTTGCTATTTTGCATTACATTTTCCCTGGTACATCACAATCAATTAAACTGAACGGAAAAGAAAAGAACCGTTACAAAGAACTGTCAGGAAACAAGAAACAAATCTGCAAATCTAGAAAATAGAAGAAATTGAATAAATTAAACCAATCAGGAGATTGTTGGTATGTAGGAGGTACAACACAAACAAATATATCACATTCATATGTCTTTCTGTTGATTTCACACCTGAGTTCAGCTGAGTTTATTGGTTGTTTTACTGCAACATGTTTTTACTCAAGTAAAAGTAAAAAGTAACTGTCCATAAAATAACTCAAACGAGTAAAAGTTTTTTTTTACTTTTTAAATCTTATTAAATGATTAAAACATTAAGACTTTAATGATATGTGGAAGTTCTGGGATTTCAATTGGTCAAAATAATGAAAATAGTTCATATAAATAGCATAATAATAATAAAATCAGACAAACGAAATCAAATTCTTTTGATTTAAAACTCGTTAAACATCAAGAAAAGCTGCATGTTTGTTTATATTTTTGGTTAAAACAAGTTTGTTTTTCGTTCAGTGAAGTTACTCAAAGATACTTCATGATAGAATATAAAAACAGTATAAAGTAAATGTTGGTGCACTGCAAACATCTGACCAAGTGTCAAGTTTCAAATTATTTCTAAACAGATAAAACTAACTTACAAATACATTTTAGCAGAAAATTGGAGCTTATTTTAAGTAAATGATTCCTTAAAATTTAAGAAAATTAATTTGTTCCACTGACAGATTATGTGACTTAATGCAACAACTTACAAGTGAAATAATCAATATTAAGGAATTATTGACTTAAAGCAAGCTCATCAGTTTTGTTTTGTTTTAAGTGTACTAAGATATTTGCACTAGAAACTAGACAAAAACAATTTGTTTTGTGCTTTTGCAGTGTAGTTACCATCAAACTCTGCATTACATTCTCACTATAAACAAATCGCTCCGGCTTGCGATGGTCCTGCAGCCGAGTCGCACCGAGACAGGAAGCAGTTTTACCCAAACGAAACACTTTGGGTGTGAAATCAGCCACAAGCAAGAGAAGTCCTGCTGTCCTCTACTTCAAAACTTAAGATAAAAACAATTCTGTTAAAAATAATTCACATTTGCTACAAAAATAAAGATTTCTATTTCTACAACGTTTGAGTTTAGGATCATCTCTTTCCCCAGAAGTCTTCCCGTCTCTTCTGAGCGCGCTCCAAGACGGCGGACGCTGCCGAGCACGAAGCCGCCGAGCGCCATGACATCACCGACAGTCGGTCGTCTGGGTGACAAAACGTAAAAACATTTACTGTCGAGTTTTGAATGTTTTCTATTAGTCAAGTTTAGTTGCATAGCACCTTTCAGCAATAAGGCAAAGAGCTTTGCATCGTAAAAACACATGAACCAATAATTGAAATGTTACATTTTGCCGTCATTACACTTAAAAATGTTGGTTAATGTTTCATTTATTATGTTCAAAAGCAACATTTGGGTTTTTAGTCTAGGTTTAAAAGAACTTCAGCGAAGGATCCACCATGTGTCGGTATCGGCCCAATAATTAAAACTGGGCCGATATCAGCAACCAATATTTATTTTCACCCTGTTGCCTCTGATTCTGGTCATTTTTTCAGAGATATAATATACAATATCAGTATATTGGTTATTGGCCAAAACAGCAATATTAATATCGGATATCAATATTGGTCTAAATGTTCATATGGGTGCCTCCCCGGTTTCAGCTGTTTTGCAGTTTTCTGTGGTGCATAGAAGCTGAATGCTGCTGGTTCTGATTCTGTAGAGCAGACCAGAACCAGAACAGCAGAAGACCGACTGTGTAATTGTCTTTATGTGTCTCTGAAGGTCCAGACATGTCATTCAGTGATTTCTAAACTAGCAGAAGTGTTTTAAAGTCTGTTCTCTCTGGAAGGACTTCAGAATTGGGTGATTTGCTCCATCTTCAGATCAGAGTCCGCTAAACGGTTTCCTCACCTTCATCAGAACCGCAGCCTCCTCTGGAACATGGCAGCTCCCTGAACCTCAAACCCAAATCACCTGGAGAGGAAAAAACCTGGTTAGTCTCAGAAACGCAACAATCTCCGCCTTCCTCTTTTATCATTCGTGCGTTTGTCAAATCTTCCATCTTTTATATGGAAACTGATCCGTTGAGAAAAAGACGAGGAGGAAGTAAAGAGGGAAGAGGGACAACCCCGCGTTGTTATCTAACACTCTCTCCTCTGTCTGTCTGGGTTTGGTTTCCCTCTGGTGCCTCCGCTGCTGGGCTGCACTGCACTACATGACAATAAAAAGTGTTTTTCTTGCTGATTCAGCTGAAGAGCATCGACTTTCCTTAATTATCTCTAACTGGAAGGAGGAACTTTTTATTTCCTTTCTCTTCTAATTTTCTGAATTTAAGCAGAAACCAGTGTTTTTTTTTGTTTAGGAAGTATACTGTTTAAATACTTTTAGCTCTACCTCTTTAAAGTATAAATATTACATGAAGAGGCGTTTCTAATGCATGAAATGACAAAAATTAAATCAGTGCAATCCAAACCGGGGGAGCTTTGTAGTGAACATAATCTACATTAGTTCCTTCCTCAATTTTAGATTAACTATAAAACAAACATTAGAACAGTATTGTTATTTTTTGTGTATTTATTTTTGGGTTTTATTCTTATCTGCACCAGTAACACTTTTATATATGTATTTGTAGTTACAGTTAATAGTTGTGTTTTTTGTATATTTTGTTTCCAAATTCACTGTTGTGTTTTTGTGCAATAAAAACAAAGTTGATTATTTTGATTTTATTGAAGTCATAAAACCTTTGTCGAATATTAATTATGGGAAGCCTTCAGTGCCAGAAATGCTTCATGAAGCGTTTTTTAATCAATGAAGTTGGAATATTTTTTATAGTTTGATCTGAGATGCAGATTAAAGTGTTAACAGCTGTTCTAATGATTAAACTTTTAAACTTCGGCCTGAGATTAATCCCATGTTGGTCTGATTTTACGGTTTTTGTTCGCGTTGTGGACTCTGCTGTTGCATCATGAGGAAACCTGATGCACAAAAATGACCCAAATTAAAACCTCCAAGTCGAAACTCACCCCTAAATACACTGCAGATCCGTTTATGAACCCAGAGTGGAAACGGATCTCAGTAGGAAGACTTCTGATTCGTTGGTAAATAAATAAGAAACTAGTTGTTCACACATTGAATGAAAGCATTTCAATAGAAAGTTTAGTGGAAGGAAAGCTGTAGAAAACAGAAACAGGAGCAGCACAGGAAGCTCACCGTTGTGCTGGAAGTCCGGGTGTCTCAACATTCCCTGGATCCCATGCTGCGGCGGGGAGGCCGGAGGGGGCGGGGCTACTGGAGACGGAGGCACCTGCTTCGTCCTGATTGGTTGAGGCCGAGGGCTGGGTGTCTGTTGGTTGGTAGGAGGGGGGTTTAAAGACATGGGGGAGTTCTCTGGCCACGCCTCCTTCAGTTTGACTGGCTTGTTGACACCGACCTCTGACCCAAATTCTGGTGAAGTGAATTTCTGGACAGATCAAAGGTCACATGACCCTTTATTGTGTGATATCATACTTTAAAAAGGTTTTATGAGAACTAAGTTACCTGCTTTTGTTTGATAGGAGAAGAATCATCCCTGTTGGTCGGTTTTCCAACAAGTATAGCGCCCCCTGGAGGGCAAACAGGACATGTTTGGTATGTTTGGCTGCAGAATGTGACTGAAAAACTAAAATGAAATGGATACCGAGAAAGTAAATATCAAAAATACCACCAGGATGTCAGCAGAAGTTTGATCTGGATTAATTTTACTGCTCATAATGTCATCGGGACTCATGAGGGGCTGCAGCGCTGCATGCAAGAGCCTCAACAACGGACAGATGTCTGAGTTCATGCTGTCACATCTGAGTTCATGCTGTCACATCTGAGTTCATGCTGTGATTTTAGCTCATCGTGGATATTTTGGGTTGGAATGCATATGTGCTGACCGGATCGCCCCCAAAGAACAGGGCATTCTGGGTAAATACACCCAAAACAAACATGTTAGCCTAACGCTAGCAGGAAAACTTTTTTTTTTCTTTTGTTTACCAAAGACAGTTTTGCAAAATAATTCAACTTCTCATTCTAGTGGAAAAACTTTTCATCTAAGATCAAGTGTTTTCAAAAAAATGTTTCCATTAAATGCATTTATTTTCCAAATGTCAAATTGTACAATTATATTGTTCAAGGAAACACATCTACTGTTATGCCCTGTGCATGTATACAGTGTGACTGATTATTGCATTGATGTTTTATTATCACTGAATGCCTTACGAGTAAAAACGTCCAATATCAGCTGAAAGGTTTCTGCAGAAGTCAGTTCAGTGTTTGCTGCATCTGAGCATGCCGCGAGGAAGTGGTTTATTAATTGCAGTGAGCACAATAAAGAGAGAGGAAATGTTGCATATTTCTGCAGGAAAAGAACATCCTTTAGAGGAACAAACGCAGAAGCTGCAGCCTGATCAGCCGTCTTCTGCTTTACCAGCTAGCAGAAGTGTCATTTCTTTTCTGAGTCGTTTTCTCGGAAAGTTTCTAGGTCTTCTGAGGTCTTTGAGACCTCAGTTTGACCTCTGATCTTCCTGGAAACACTCGACTCTGCCAGCTGCAGATGTAGCTTCTTAAAATGGCCAAAGCTTTTTGAACTTTGTCTTTAACTCTCAACCAGGATTGCATGTAATTTTTTTCTTGTTGGAAATCAGAAACGTTGGCGTGGATTACAGATTAGCACCAGGCTTTACGGCGCTGGGTGGTTTCCGTGTCCTGCAGGAATGTTTACCTGTGGCAGGTGTGGTCAGGTCGTGGTGGGTTCTCTGAACTGGCCTCGTTTTCAGTCTGGGAGTCGGTAACCTTCCTTCCTCTCTGAAAACACACGGTTGGTTCCTGAAAGCTGAGGTGGCTTTGGTTTGACTTTCACACTTTTGACACACTTTCTGTCAGATTATCCTCAGGCAAAAATAGACTCCAGTTACAACTGCTTCAATAAAACACCACAAAGACTTCAAAACAAAGTCAAGAATATATAACTACTATCATAGAGAAAGAAAAACCTACTCCTCCGTCTCTTCTTCTTCTTCTGCCCAGGCTGTGTGGCGTTCAGCTCCGGGTCCTGGCGGCGTTTCCCTCCCACCGTTTCTCTCAGTTTTTCCTCCACTGACTGACGACCTCCTACTGGACATACTGGAGCGACCAGACAGAAACCAGTTCAGGTCAGAGGTCAGATCAGGTTCCAGCCTCCTGCCTAGAGCGGGGCGATACGGCTTAAGAATAAAATTTATTATTTTTTTTTTTATTCAAACCAAATCCGATTTTAATTCGTTTTTTTTTTTTTTTTTCTCTACAAATGAAATCATTTTCAAGAAGTAGCTTTTATTTCAATTATTTGTTTCGAGTCGGAGCATCGGGATTAATTATGAGAATATATTCAGATTATCAGCAGAAAAAAAGCACAATTTTACCTAAAAAACTTTACAATGAAAAGTTCTATTCAGCAAAAAGGCTTTTTAAATCAGGATGGGATGTGAACAGCTCATTTCATGTGGATCTTTCTTCAAAATAAACTCACTGTGTACAGGATCAATTAAGCTGATAGGAATCTGATGTTGGTGTGTTAAAAGAATAAGTATTTTTTATTTGTAAAGCCTGTTGCATGTCTTTGTTTACCTTATTTGGAAATTTTTCACATGCGTCTGAAGCTGGATGGCAAAAAAGACGATTAACATGATCGTATTAGTTTAGTGTCACAGCACAGGGAAAACTAGCGGAGAAAAACTGTTAAAAAAAAACTCAAACCCACTTTTTTCTCGCTCTCTGTGGCGGCTAAACCTGTTGCCAGGGCAACTGATTATGAGTCAACGCCGTAAAACTCGCAAACATTTCCCTACACAAAATATAAAACATTCAGTCCGTTATGGTTTGTTTTCTGGCTTGATGCGATTATTTATACGTGATCGCTGTGGCAGATTAGCTGTCGCTAACCGCTGCTATTAGCTAAGCTAACATTAGCCAAGCTAACATTAGCTAATTTAAGCATCTGATTTACTGATGGTCTGTTAGAGTGGGTCTTTAGGTTGCCTTTTTTATTTTAACTGAACCGAAACACCAAATTCCACAGCACTGCTACATAAGATTTTCATAGTCAAACTAGCATAACTGAATTACTTCCTTTTCCCTCCTATTTTATTCTTAGTTAAATTTTTTCCTGACTTTGTTATCAAGCTGTTCTAGTGTTGACAATTAGTAGCAGAGCACTGCATCCCTTTTTATTTTATATATTAGGCTCACATTTAAGATTTAGTGCATCAAGTTGACATCTAAAACCAATGAATTCAAAGTCCAAATAAATAGAAGCTGTAAAACAAGATGGCCACCCTGGGCGAGATGGCATCACTTTAAGGACTGCATTGGTGGGAAAAAAAAAAAAAATCCAGATTTTCTCTAAATTAATTGCTAATTAGCTCCACTCCTACTGCGTCGCTCCTCACCTGGCCAGGTCCAGGGCTTCTACGCAGGAAGCCCTGCGGCTGTCCGGCTCAGGTGAAAGGTCACGGTTGGGTGGTGGGGTGGAGGGGTCGGAGTGGGAGTCGGTGGGCTCCCACAGAGCGTTGTGTTCGGACAGCAGCTGGCTCAGATGGTCCCTGGAGAAGTTGGTTCCCCAGGCTCTGCGTCGGTACGCCTGGGCCTGCTGCCTGCGCTCCTTCACCTGGACAAACAGGTGAAACTCTGAGCCTGAATCCCACCTGGTCAACGGCTTCCAACCATTAACCACCAACCAACGTATTGATGAGTTTAACAAAGACAAAATATTAGTTACTAGTTTCTCAACTGGTGACTGTATGATGCTTTTATGTCTTTGAACTGCTTTTGAAACTTGATTTCATCTCTTGTTTCAGAAAACCAGAGATGCAATACATTTTTTCCACAATAAATTCCTCATTTTAAATAAGATCAGAAACTGAGAGAATTATGAGCCATAAATTATGACAGCCATTTTCCATATATATTGATAAAAATCTATTATCTTAACAATATTGACTTTAAAAGAGAAATAAAAAGTTTGATTTGCTCTGAGAGAAATCTGGTAGTTTGTGGCGTTAATTATTCCATCTCTGCCGCCAAACCTCAGCATCTCGTAGATTCTGGTAAACCGGACGTCCTGGACCCTGGATAACCTCTGACCCCGTTTGTGAAGCTAACCTCAGCCTGTCCACGGCTCAACCTCGACAGGAATCACCTGTCAGCGTTTCATCACTTCCTCCCACCGGTTTGTTCGTGACGTCGGCTCAGAAAAAAAAGGCTGAGTCAGAAAGACGGAGAGAAAATTGATGTGATTCATTTAGAGGATTAAAACTTTTGATGATGATATTTTAAAAACACCACTAAAGAGGCAACTTTTTAAAAGTTTGGACTCAGTAGTTTTTATTCGAGTCTCAGCAGGTGATTCACTGCAGCTGCGTGGTTTCTATTCGAAAGGTGGAACTGAAATAACGAGCTGACAGGTTCGAACCCCGCCCAACAACATGGCCGCCGGAAAGATAAAAACCCCAACAGACAGAAAAATGTCTCCTTTGCTTTTTCCCCTAGTTCAGCCTGAATTAGTTTGAATATTCCAGAAAGTTCAACAAAAGTTATAATTTATCTCCAAGTTATTGACGTTACAGTGATGTTTTGTTTCTCGAGTTTCAGCTTCACATTTTCTTTCAGTTTCCTGATTCTCATAATAAGAATCTGAAATGATTGAACAACATCAGACTTTTAAAACTTTCTTAAAACTTTGAGATGTTTTTCTGGTAAAATTATGAACAATAAACGATAATTCTGGGACCATTTTCAGGTAATATAATGATAAAGGTATTATAATAATAATAATGCAAGAACAGAATGTTAAATATCAATAAACTTTAAATGAACATTTGACACTGGAACTGGAAGACACTTTAAATATCCAAAATCAATAAAATAACAGAAACAACAAATGAAGTTAATTATTAAAAATAGAGATCGGTGCAACTGAAAACCAGTTTTGGTAGAAAGAGAACAATGCTAAATGATGCAAATGGAAATGACAAAATTATTGTTTTAATTAAAAATTTGATTAACTGTCATATAGCTGAAATAAAACTTAATTTTTTGTAAACATTTTCTGTCATCCATATTATAAAAATAGATTAAAATTGAATCTTGTCTGAAAAAAATCAGATTTTGTTTTTAAATATCGCCCAGCTCTGGTTTTGCTGCTCTCACCTTCCTGTTTCTGCCACCAGGTGGCGCAGCAACTATTTGTTTTAGCTTTAATTCTTCCAACTGGATCTCTGGGAACATTTTACTTGTCGTTAAAAGTCGAATGCAACCGAAACTCGTGGTATGTTTTGGATTGTTGGTCATTTCAGGCCCTGTTTTTGGTGCCGCGTTGATTTTTTTTTCAATTTATTACATCAGCAGATGAACAGCTGGTGGTTTGAAAACACAGCTGCAGAAACTGTTTTTTCCTGCAAAGCAAACAGATGCAGGTGCTTTTCTTAGTATTTTTGATGCCTTGAGGTGAAATCTTTGATGTGCAAACGGCTGCCCCCCTCCTCAACATTTTCCACAGGGCTGTTGGGAACCGACCCGACTGTGAGTAATGCAGAGAAGTTTCCCTGAAATGAACCACTGTGGTTTCTTCTGCTGACACTCAGCGCTTTGGTTTTTCATCAGCAACACAGAAAAACACACACCGACCAAAACAATCCCCTAAAATACAACTTCAGTGAGATTTTCTGCTTCTCCTGCAGACAGTGAACTCACCACGGACAGTGAACTCACCACAGGCGCTGGACTGTCCTGCTGCTTCAAGCCCCCGTCCTCCACCTCACCTGCTTTCCTCCTCTCTTTTAAAGAGGCAGAGCTTTTATTGTCTTTATTCTGTTTGATTACATTTAAACTTTCTGAGTGAGTAACTAAGGACTCAAACCAAAACTGTCCTTCCTGCCAAATGATGAGGAGAAAATTATTGCTGCTTAAAACTGAAGTATTCAGACCGGTTTTCCTGCTGTCTTAGGAACATTTTGTTTATCACGAATGAGGTTGATCAGGGGAGTAATAAAGTTCTTCCTCAACCCTAAGCTACCTCTGAACTTACAGTGAAGAAAATGAGCTAATGGTACCTAGCCAGCGAGCTAGCAGGGTAAAGTTAGCTAGGTAGCAGCTAAGCCACATCTGGGTGTAGCTGGGTTTAGTTTATAGTATCTGGATTCTGCCTCAGATTTGAGGTCCATCCATTTGTTTGAAGCAACAGTCACTGCCTCCCTTCAGAGATCTGGAACAAAATGGCAGCGCATGACGCCTCCATCGAGCTCTGCTGCCACCGCCCACGCAACCAATGACCAACCTCTGACTGCGGGGCATTCTCAGTCAGCACTGTTTCTCAACCGCTAAGCAGCGGTGTTCCACAGAGATGTGTTTCGAATCACTTCAACTCTCCGTTTGTTGTGATTAAACCCATCGCAGCGTTTCCATCAGACCTCAGTTCTTAAAGGTTTTAGTTAAACCGATTGATTAGTTCTGTCTGATAGTTTTGTCTCTGGTGTTTCTAATCTTTGTGAATCCAAACAGCTTCAGTCTGGAACTGAAACCTCATTTTAAATCATCCGACACCTTTAGCTCCGTTACGTTCACTATGATTTATTTATTTACATATGGTAGTATGTCAGGATACTACCATACTGCAACGTTCTTCAGTCAGAGGCTTCTTCAGATTCGTTGTGAGACTGACCGCTACAGGAAACCTAAGAATTTAATTGAACTTCTAACTTCAAAGTTCAACTGAAACTTGTAGGTGGAGTTTCGATATTGAAGGCGGCATTTGTTCTCTACCAAGATATTTTACAGCAGGGAACAAAAAGTGCTGAATGTTACAGAAAGTGAAAGGCGGTGTGATGAATGTAAATTGACCTCTGACCTGCTCGGTGAGGTCGTCCGTGGCCCCGCCCCCTTTTGGGTTCCTGCAGAGAGGAGAACGAAACCTGGACTGATACTCTGTCAACATCCTGCCGGACACACAGGAACGGTTCCAACGTCATTTCACCGGCCTGACAGAGACGCAGAAAACGCTCGGCCTGGAACTCACCTGTGTCTCCTCCGCACCTGAGCGGGCGGGAGGGCCGTCGTCAGGGGCAACCGGGACCCATCGTTGCCCTGAGCGGTTTCCTGTTTGACAGGAAGTTCATTACTCTGTCCATCCAAACTTTTCCTTCTGTGAGTCTGCAGAAGGTTGGCAAGATCAGTTAGCAGGTCAAAGGTCAAAGAGCAGAGCTGAACAGAGTGGCTTCAAGATAAAAAAAGAATGAAATTTTGATCTTTTATCTTGATTTCTTTTCTAAAAGCGAAATTACAAATGATAAGTTTTCTAATACAAATTTTAATCTTAAAGAACCAAAAATAAAATTAGATAAGATCAAGAAGATTTCCTCTCCTACAGACTGCATAGTGTGTGTGTGTGTGTGTGTGTGTGTGTGTGTGTGTTACCTACCCTGTATGTGTGAAACACCGGATGTCCCAGATTTCTCCGAAGGCGCAGACCGGAAGGCGGGTCCAGACCGTGGAAGCTCCGGCGGTACTCCGTTTCCATGGGAACGGGGTTCTTCTTAAAGGGCGGGATGGACCTGCTGCTGGAGTGCAACACCTGCGAGATGGGGCCAAAGGTCAGCAACTGGACAACCACTGAGTAAATCTCCAAAGAGCTGCGATATAATCGGTTTGGATGAGGCCGCCCTCTGGTGGGCAAACAGGAGAATTACAGTTATCGTTCGCTGGTAATTAATTTAACTATCAGTTTTTTCTTCTGTTCCTCTATTAATGTTTTGTTTTTTTAACCCAGAATGCAATTTTAAAATGACTAACTTTTATTTGATGTTTAATTTCACATAAAAACTGAATCAGAATGTAATTGCAAATTTATAAAAATTTAAATTACAACTTTATTTCATTTACTTAGTAACAATCACATCTTCTGCCTTAATTAAAACAGTTATTTACTGACTGTGTTTAAGCATGTTTATCTGATGAGTTTGATTCATTTTGGTGAAAAATAACTTTTAAAAATGTCAGATTTTACAAACGCTGCCCCCTGGTGAGAAAGTTGAGGTAAAACATTTGCTGCTTTTTTTATCTTCAAAATCTGAAAGAGATAAAAAAGCTCCAGGAAACAGCGGGTGACAAAAATGATGACAGAATATAATGTTTATTATTATGCAACAGTCTGATAAGGTGATAAGTGATTCAATTACCAATAAAAATATTTATTATCTGTATTACTGACTAATATAACATATATAATGTGGTCACATTAAGAAATGTGTCTGAAGTGACTGAAGTTGCTTTATTACCTCATCATGATACCTAAACTGAATTAATCTGATTAAAATCTGCATTGTCCTTTTAAATAAAGAGAAAAACTTTCTGTGATGGAATAAAAGCAAATTAAAACCTGAATTCAGTCAAAATTTCTGTTTTAAATTTAATATTTCATTATTACATGTTTTATATCCAAATTCAGTGACCTGTATTTTGTTGGACATTATTTTACATTTTATCACAATTATTTTGATATTTGTATTTCTGTGTTTACTGTTTATAGTTTAAATTTGTAGTTTTACTAAACCGCATTTCGTCGTAGTTTGACTTTATTTCATTATGAATATCACTAGGATTCATTTCTGATTTATTAAAGGAAAAAGAAACAGAAACAAATCGACAAAAGGAGCGGCGTCAGGTTTTAGCGGTTGGAGGATTTTTCTTTTGTCTGTCATTTCTCCTGTTTGCGCTATGCTAACGGCGATTAGCATTCACGCCTCGCCAAGCGCACGGCGTTCAAGCTTTCTGATGGAAAACAGGAAGTCGTCATACTTGGACGTCTTTCTCACCTGCTCTGCTGTCAGTAATGGTGATGCTGCAGGTACAGGCTTCTTCCAGCCAAACTGCCTGTGGTACTCTGACCTCTGACCCCACGTCTTGTCGACCTGCAACACAAACCTGTCACATCCTGCTGCTTCCGGTTCAGCGTTACAGATGGTCTCACCTGGTGTCCCTGCTGCTGCTCGGGTTCTGCAGGTCCGCCGGGCTCAAAGGGGCGGAGTTTCACTGAGGACACAGAGCAGATGTGAGACCAGCGACCATCTGGGACGACAGAACCTCAAAGTTCTGCACATTTACCGGATTTTCCATCAGCTACTGGACTGGATCCAGGTTCTGGTTCCGATCCAGAAACATTTGGTGGTTTAGAAACTGGAGAATCTGTAATTTAAGGCAGAATCATGGTGATCATGTGAAACAGGATCATCCAGATTATTAAAACCCTGGAATTTGGGAAGTTCTTGGTTTTCAAACTGCAGTTTTGTAATAAAATCTAATCTAACATTTTATTAAAAGCTTTTTCAAGATTCTAAGAGGCTTTGCAAGAGAAAAGCCAATCCTTCCTTTTCTAGAAAATTGAAGAGATTTCCAAAATTTTTAGAACTTTAGTTTTTTCCCCCTTTGACTCCTTTTTATGCTTTCATGATTTTTAAGAGGAAGTTGTTAAAAACAAAAAACCCAGTAAAATAATTTCACCCAGACTGAAACGACCATCTCCTGTTCCCCTGCAGACTCACCTTTCCTGCCAGTAGAGGGCGTTGCTCTGCCAACTGGATCTGCTGGAGAACCAGGCAGGAAGTTACCGGACTCGGCTGGACCGGGTCTCTTCAGTCGTTGGAGACCCAGAGGTCTGCTGATCCCTGCAGACACAAACACCGCAGGAAGCTGCTGATTCTTGAAATATCTCCATTTGTTGCTTTAGATAATTTTTTTTATTTGTTTCTTAGATAAAACCATGATAAGAGGTTCTTACGGTTCTGATCAGGGCGGAGTCCGGCCAGTGGGCGGCAGTGCTGAGGCGACACGCTTCTGGAGCGAGGGACACCGTAGCTCTTCTGGTACTCACTCTGAAACAAACAGTTCAGCTCTGAACAATAATGTTTTATTATAGTTAATAAAATTAAAATTACCAACATCTCAGACCAAAGACAAGCAAATATATCAAAGGAGTTTAGTTTCTCTAAAGTTGAAATAAAATTGTCCTGGATTATTCAGTTGGTGAAAAAGCTCTGCTAATCGAGCTCCTTTGCTTTTGCAATTGATTGTGTATTTCTGTGGTTGTCCTTATTTCCATACTGGAGGAAAAATACTAATAAATTATGTTTAAAAAATAAGTAATGATAGCAGCTATGTTACACACTTAGCGCAGTCTTGAAATGAAGTCTGTGGTGCCGACCTGTTTGTACTTATGTAATTTCCCATTGGGATCAATTCAAATTCAAAAATGTCTGAATTTGAATGGGGGGCCCGAAATAAAAATCCGCCTCGGGTCCCGAAAAGGCTCGGACCGGCCCTGTTTGGGCTGCTAGACTACACACTAAAACTGGCGACCTCTAAGCCTGTAAAAATCTGTTCTGATTAAAATAAAAAGTCAACATTTAACTTTCCAAATGGCTCTCGATGGGTAAAAAAATGTAAGGAAATCCAAACCTGATAAATTGGATTAAGAGATTAAAACCGTATTGATCCCGTTTCTGCTGAAACGACGCTTCACGAAAACCCAAACTTAATACAATGCATCTTGTTATTCCACAGCTTGATGTGATTCCCAGCAGTTTTTAATCGTGATTAGCAGCTAGCATCGCTGCCTGTTTCACCTGTTGTTTACCTTGAAGCGGACCGTCATGGCGCTCCTGCTTGTTGAGGGAACACCGGGAAAGTCGCTCCTCGGAAACAAAACCCCACACTGGGCGTCCTAGCGGGCTCTGTTGGTTCGGTTTATCGCTGATTCAGCCGGAGCTGCGAGCTAGCTTCAAGCGTCAAGCTACAGGTGTTGAGCCGCGCTGAGTCGCTTCCCTTCCATTTGCGCCTCTACACCTGGAGTTACGGCCGCAGTTAATAACGTGGTGCATTCAAGTCAAATCGTACAATTGAAAATCTATACTGAAATGATTCTAAAACGAATAAATGTATTTTGTTATTATCAAATCATTTAAGTATATAAAAAGACAGCTGTGATTATTTTCAAATGTTCCTTGTTGTTTATTATTTCTTTATACTTTTCAAATATTTCAAATAATTGTAAAGTAATTACTGAAGATTTTTTTTGTGGCCAGATTTAATTTTTTATTTTTGTTATGACCATCGTAGACAGAAACATTTGCCAAAAAACTCTGGAAAGATCAGATTAATATTAAACATTCTCTTAAAAAATCCCTTAGTTTCAAATGTTTGATTTTTGATATTCAGAAATGTCTGAGATTAACCTCAATTTTCCTTTCAAAATTTTATCTTTTCATGTGTAGAAATGTTTTTATTTTTTCTCTGATTTTTTTTTTGGCTGAAATATACTATTTTTTTCTTTCTACAACGACCCAATTACACCGTCATAACCCTTTAATAAAAACTTACAATAAAATCAAATTACGGTATTAATGATGTTTTGAAAGTAGGTTCCTGTTAATATGAATATTCCAATGTACGAGGTGTACTTGAACGCACCGTGAATCATCGCCGTTAACCGTAAAGGATGGTGTAGAAGAGCAGTCGGGCAGACCGGAGGGGAAATCACATCCTGACTGAAACTCCTCCCGACGCAACACTGGCGTTGCCATGGCAGCGAGGCTTTACGCAACTCGTTCTTTTTTTTCATCCAATCAAATTTCAGGACAAAATGTTAAAGTAACAATCATTGACTCTGATGAGTTGAATACAGATTTTTATTTTTAAAAACTTTGGAAAACTATGCATCCTTTTCCACCAAATTATGTATTATTTTGTCAACTTGTTACCAATAAAAATCATTTATAGGATAAAAGTTTTAAATATGTCCTTGTCCATCAATAAGAGGGAATAACTGACCAACACGTGATTCTGTTACAAAATTGCACCAGTTTTATTCATTTAAGGCTTCTTAGTTTTGTTTTGTTTTTACATTTGGCTTCGCCCCCCTCCACTCTGCTGCCTCTCTGCTGCTGCGGGTTTCTGGAATGAAGAAACAAGTTCAGATGACCTTCATACCAGCTCCAGCCTGGCGGTTCACCGGCTGAACTGGTTTCTTTTACATTTCACTGGTCACTATGCCATACAGTGTAAAAAAAAAGAAAGAAAAAAAAGACGTTCTTTCAATCATGGGGAACTTTTTCCACTTTGCATTTAGCTGCAGTTGCAATCGTCACTTCAGCGTAACGGTGAGCGTTTTAGGGGGATTCCAACAATTTAAATCAAACGTATAAAATGGTTCATAAAACACTGTAATGTTGGTTTAAGCAGATAAATGGACAGGAGAAGTTTATTATTGCACACCATTTGAACTTTTGTTACATTTTCTTTGAAAGCATCACACAAACATATCTGCTTATAGCTACATCACAAAGTTTTATTCCATTTATTACATTTTTTTACAAACCCCACAAATGAAAAATGCTAATTATTAGTACAACCACTACTGTTAAGGCCTCAATATTCTTTAAAACAAAGAGATTTCCAAACGGACATCCAGAATCTGAGTTTGGCAAATGACGAAAGCCCCTGCAGCCCGACGTTTGGAGGCCGGAAAGGTCCGCCTGCAGCCACGGCTCCCGCAGAACACACCAACGAACTGAAACATCCGAGGAAATCACTGTAAAAGTAGCTGCAAAGAGGTAAAAGGACATTCATAGGCATTTATAAAACACATTCTTAGAAAGCCGGGAAAATTAAATTACCAAGCACTCAAAAACGAGACAATGTGTTAGATTCTGTTTAAGCACGCTGTCGCCCCCTACTGGCAGAAACATAGCGGTCCGATCACCACGGCTGCAAACAGACCCTCCGCCTCCTCTGACTGGCATGCAAACCGTCACAGCACCTCCTGGAGGTCAGACTGACTACTTACTGAACATCAACATGCTACATGACTGAACGTACTGGAGGAGAAGCAGAATACTGGCAGCAGTACCGCGCTGTGTACCACAGTACAACACCGCAGCAGAACTCACAGAGGTCCGACATACTGGTTCTGTAACGCCACCACGCTCATTAAAAACAAAAATAACCTGCTGTTCACCAACTGTGCAGCTCCACAGGCCAAATCCTCACCTGGGGAATGAATTTTAAACCCAAACTACAAACATTTTTTCTGTTTTCTGTAACTCCATCTCAGCTATTCTTCCCAAATAAATATTCTGGACCAGTGTGAGTCTGCTGTCTGAAGGCAACATGTTCGACCGCCACAGCAGGTTCTGACTGAGCTCACTGTGCTGCTAACACGTTCGCCAACTCACTAGCTTCACCTTTTCATCAATATTTTTTATTCCTCAACTGATATTTATTCACAAGTTTACAGCAACGTACAAATATTACTCAACAAAAAGAAAACTTTAGAAAATAAGCACAGAACGGTTGCAAATGCTAACTTACTAGCAACTAATTTTAGAATTAGCTTCAGCGACAGGCACTTCACGCTAACAGCAAATGCCAACATTACTTAAAACTAATAGTTTCATTGGTTGTATATACTTTTACCTACCTACAAGAGACTAAAGTTAATAATTAAAGCTAGTATTAGCATTAATGCTAACATTCGCTATTGGCTTTAAGTGGCAGTAGCTAGCAACTTTAGCAACTAATGCTTAAAGGTTATCATTAAGTTGCTTCAAGAGCATAATGTTAGTAATTAAAGCTAGTATTAGCATTAATGCTAACATTAGCAATTAGCTTTAAGTGGCAGTAGCTAGTAACTTTAGCAACTAGATCTTAAAAGTTAAATAGCTTCAAGAGCTGAAAGATAATGTTGAATTAATTTAGCTAAAAGCTAAAGGCAGCGCTAATGTTTCAGGCTAGCTATGTAGCATTTAATTTTGTTTTATTTTATGAAGCTAATACCTCCCAAATAGTGGAGCAATAGTGTTTATAGCAATTAATTATTTTATACATTATAATTATTCTTAAATTTATCTTATACTGAATCAGAAGAAAGCTGTTAGCATACCTTCTAGCTAAATCAATTATTTCTTTGGAATAATGCTACAGCTAAAATGCCATCAAAAGCAAAAAATCTGAATTCACCAACAAACCTTCCATAATTCACACATTTTCCTATTTCTCTTCTCAGTTTCCCAATAAATCTGAATCCAGAAGAACCATAAATCACAGCTGCTCTGCTTCAATAAACTTACATTTATAAATAGATTTTTTTATTGATAGTGACGCGTGTCCTGTGTGGAACAACACGAACATGATTCACTCAGCTTTATTGAAACCTGGATTTTAAACTGCTGCTTCGTCACTTGATGAAGCTTTTAGTTCTGAACTGAACCGGTTTGAACTTTAGCAACACAGTGAGCTGACCTATGACCTGCTGCACACCGTTTGCCCCGCCCACCCAGAAATTTAAACTAAAAAACATCAACTGACTTTAGATATTTTTTCTTTTTACACAGAATTATAATAATAAGCACTGCTATAATAATAATAATAACCACTATAAGGATCCACAGGTTTAACCAGAGCAGTACACACAGACAGCCGTCACCGTGGCAACCACAGTGCCAAGATGGCCGACGGTCAAGCTGCATGCGGTTGAATTAGAAAAAAAATGCTGGAAAAGAAAAAGTGAAAGTAAAAGAAATGATAAGAAACAAAAAAGATGAAAATAAAAAGTTGTAGGCGGCTCCCCCAGCAGAGCCTCGGCAGAGAGCATGATGGGAACTGGAGTTTTAATCTGGGAAGTTGTTTGGAAAAGCCCGCCCTCCTCCATCACTGTCATCAGCATCGGATGTTTTTCTGGGATTTTTTCATGTTTCCAAGGCAACAGTCTCCGCTGAGGGGATGGGACGTGGTCGTCACGGTAACGGGGTTTAGCAGTGGCTGATATTGATGATGTGTTAAAGGGGCGTGGCCAGCTGGAAGATGCTCTGTGATTGGTTGGCTTGAAGGTTGTCGGTCCAGTCGGAACTAAAAGACAGAAAAAGAGCCGGAATGTAAACAGGAAGTGACGGATGAAGACTTTTCAACATTTATGTATCAAACTAATGTTAATATTGCGAATCTTTGGGCATTAACACAAGATCGGCCAGCAGAGGGCGCCTGAGAGGCTGTGAAAATGACAAATATTTGACTAAAACGCTACTTTTTCCTTTTTAAAGAGTTTACATTAAAGGGTTGCAACTATTCGTTTAGTAATTGATTAATTTGATTTAAAAAATATTATGTGACCACATATGCCTTTTTAATGCAGTATTAGAAACCCATTAAAAGACACAAACAATTTATTGCCTAAAATGCAGTAACGTTTTATTCCTTTAGTGAATTTGAACCATTTGAAAATGAAACTTCAGGAGTTTTGAGTAAAACGTATTTCAGATAAAGTTTTTTTTATGCTGTATAAATACATTCTTTGTACTGCTTTGATTGTACTGCTCCAGTGAATGTTTAATTAATTAGTTGATTATTTGAATAATTGACTAATTGTGACCAATACAAATTAATCGTTTCTGAAATAAAAATAAAATCAAATAACTTCCACTGTTAAAAGGCCAACAAAGTTCACAAAAATGATTCTGAATAGGGTAGAAATGTTTCTTAAAAATATTTAATTATAGGTACCAACGACAATTTTAGCTGAAATTTACAAATACAGTTACGTATTACATATTTAATGTCAAAATATTTTAAACCAGGCAGAAACAAACTCCTAGGCTTCGTCTTTGTTTCTTGTCTTTGCCATTTTAATTCAATTATCCTGTAAACGAGGAGCTGCGAAGTTTAAACCATGGGGGGTTTTAACTAGGACATTTAGAAAATTGAAGACGCTGAGAGGCAAATCGACTTCCTGCCGGGTTAATAAATGAAAACAGCTTTTTCCCCGTTGACTGGCTCTACAAGCTGTTTGTTCTGAAACGACGTGGAAAAGCGTTTTGGACTCACCTGTCATTAGAGAAGTTGGCAGACGGGCTTTTTGCGAGTATTTCCTGGAACGGGAGTCTTCCTGTTGATCTGCCGGACGAGGTCGTAGAAGATCTGCGGAAACAAACGTGTCGTCGTCGGTTTGTGGAGGGCGAAGCCGTCGTTTGCTTTGTGGTTCAGGTGCGCTCACCTCGTTGACGTTTATCTTGCTTTTGGCCGACGTTTCCAGGAAGGCGCAGGAGTTCCACTGGCGGGCGAGGCCGACGCCCGACTCTTTGGCCACGACGCGCTCCACCTCCAGGTCGCATTTGTTCCCCACCAGGATCATGGGAACCTGCGGCGTCGCAGCAGAGCCGCTTAAATCTAATTTTTAACAACCTCATCCTGACCTTTTACTTTTGGTTTCAAATAATCTGACGAAATGGAATATAGACAGTAAATGTAACATTTAAAATCCAAATTTAAATGTTTTAATTGAGGGAACTTATTACTTCAAAAGACTCTCCATGTCAATTATCCCAAACAAAATCCTTTAAATCATTTACAGGTGAAAAGAAACAGGAAGAGGGAAAACTGTGACCAGCAGGGGGCAGCACAGTGAAAGGTCAGTCATTTTTAACGTCTTTCACATCTAACCTTTAAAATTGGTTTTTACACAGAGTTTAAAAATTAAAGCTGCAAAATTCAGACTTTCAAGACTGAAATTAGATTTTGTTTCTCGCCATCTTTCCTAACTATTACATTAATTATTTATAAATGACATTTGTAGCCGAAGCTTTAAATATTTCACAGGAAGTAGTTTGTTTTGTTTTTTTATTTCAGGAATACTTTAGTACTTCCTGACAGCTGAATATTTATGACCATCTGGTTTGTGGGCTCGTGTGTGTGTGTGTGTGTGTGTGTGGGCTCGTGTGTGTGTGTGTGTGTGTCTCGTACGTCCTCGGTGTCCTTCACTCTCAGGATCTGCTCTCTCAGGTCCTGAAGGTCGTTGAAGGTCGACTGAGCAGTGATGGAGTAAACCAGAGCGAAGCCCTGGCCGTTCTTCATGTACAGGTCCCTCATGGCCGTGAACTGCTCCTGTGGAAACACCGGCGGAGGTGAGGAGACGCTCAAACGCACGGCTGACCTCTGACCTCTGACCAGCTCTTACTGTTCCAGCCGTGTCCAGGATCTCCAGCATGCACTGCTGCCCGTCCACCTCCACTTGCTGCAGGGACAGGAAGTCAAAACTCAACAATATTCTGTGACTTTTTACATAAACTCATTCACTACGTACCTTAAAACCTAATTTTCTTTTTAGTTTATTGTTTTCTTAAAAAACTATAAATTAAAATATATTTAGCTTAACATAATAAAACAACAAAGAAAATCTAAATGCAAAAAAATTCATACTAATTAAAACAAGGGTATAAATATATATATATTAAAACATAAACGATTAAAAGTGATAACTGAAAGACATTTTATTCTTCCATGCAATACATAAATAAAACAAATTAAGCCATGTAATATAGAAAATACATTATAATAATGAACAAATCAGTAAAAAAATAAAAAATTATGAATCAGAAAATTCTAAATTATAGGTCTGAATAAATCTAGAATCGATTAAATAATTAATTAAAAAATTAAAATGTTATTCCAGTTTAGAAATGAAATGTTACCGAAAGTCAAGTACAAATACGACATATAAACAAATATATAAAAACATACAAAAAAAACTATTGAAAATAAATATATAAACAAAGTATTGATCAAAAATAGCAAAGAATTAGAAATATGATTAAAAAATTGTAAACAGTAATAGATTTATTCTACATTAAAATAAACTATTTCAAATTCAAATATTTAGTATTTAAATTTTGTTCAGCCTCTGGTTTTCACAGGTTGATTAAATAATTAATGAGGTGACATTTCTACAGCTAATCTTCCCGGATTGGAGAGGAGTCCGCCTCAGGACATCCCATAATATGGGTTTCTCTGCTCTCAGCCAATCAGAAACGCTCCTACCTTCCTGTACGAGTCTTCTATCGTCGGGTCGTATTTCTCCACAAAGATTCCCTGAACGAACTGGACCGTCTGAGGAAGAGGAGGGGATGAAGAGCAGCTTCATCAGGATGGAAACCAGTTTAATGATTTCTAAATGTTTACAGGTATTTATGCTTCACTTTTCAGGTCTGGTTAACAATTAGTTCTTTTATTAAAAGATGAAATCTGAATTTCTAAACAATAAAATGCTTTTAAGATCATTTACTCTTAAATCTTTGTCAACTGAAAATAATTTAACAATAAACCAGAAGCTTTTACAGGGTTAAAACTCATCATTTCTAGGATGAATTTGGCTTTTGGAAAATTTTGATTTTTTTTCTTTTTTTATCACCAATGCGATGCCAGCCAGGGCGGCCATCTTGTTTTACAGCTTCCATTTATTTACACGTCAACTCTACCATGGAGTATTGAAGCTGGGATAATATTTTACTATTATTGTCATAATAAAAACAAACTAATTACATCAGGATAATAAAATCTTAATTTTACAGAAATTGCAACATTAAAATAAAATTAGATTTGTTGAGCATCTTGTGAAGTTATACTTTGGTATAAGTTTCACAAAAATATTTAATACTCAATACAAGTAAATTATCTTTCTTTAAACACATTAGCATAAAAGTATGCTAATTTCTATTGTAATTTCATTATTGTCTAATATTATGTATATTTTCTGTAATTTAACAGAAATTCTTGTCGAAGGTGAAAAAGACAACAAGCAAAGAGAAGTTGTAAAATTTGAAAATATTTTATTTTTAAGCCACATGACCCAATTTTTATTTTACTCAGATGTCCAAAACAATGTTTTGACATTTGTTATGGACATTAAAAAGATAAAATGTTGATTTAAATGTGTGTTTTGGTTTGCAGAGCAGCTCTGAGATGTTTACCGTCAGGAAAACAACCAGGAAGTGTTAGCAGGACTTACCAGCGCTGACTTCCCGACGCCTCCTGATCCTAAAACAACCAGTTTATATTCACGCATCCTGACTGTCTGTCTGCTGGGCGGGCGAGCGAGGGAGGGACAGAGAGAGAGAGAGGGGACTGTTAGAGCGGCCAATCAGAACGCAGCTCACACCACCTGCAGCTCAGCCCTCAGGTAAACTCCGGACAGATCAGCTCCAGGTCATGTGATCACACAGATGAAAAGTTTTAATGCAGTTTAAAATGTTTTATATGCTTTTATTTAATAAGAACAACAAAATCTGGACTATTCTTTTAAAAAAACTCTGAATCCATAAACATGAAATGAATATTCAATGTGATATTTTTGAAAGGAAGCCATGTTAAAATTAAAATGAACGATTTCTGATTCTTGATAGTTTCACCGTAAACTTTAAACCAAAAGCATCTAATTTCCTTCAATTAAAAACTAAATCTATTTAACATTCTATAACATTTATTTATTATTTAATTTTGATGCTGATAGTCGAATTAGAGGATTTATATTTACTAAAGTAACATTTCAAAGAGCTTGTTGTGTTTAATCTTTTCTCAGAGCTGAGGTCGGCTGTTAACAACTCAACTTTAAATACTTTAAAAATATATTTTTTAGCATTTTTACAGGTAATTTATAAAGATTTTAAGCTTGTAAATTGTGTAAGCATGACTAAATCTGTTATTCAAACAATGTCTTTCCAACATTAATAGTACTAAGATCGGCTGTTTATGTGGAAGATTAACAACAGGAGGATGAGATTCACTTAAAACATGCAGTGCACATCATTCTGACAGCCCATAATACTCTGGTTGAATTTTATTTGGCTGTATTCTACAGAAAGTTCATAAAAGATGCAGGAGGAACTGATCACCTGGCATTAATACCGTCTTTATTTCTGCTGCTTTTTGAAACAAACTGAAAACAAACTGAGCTCAGCTTTAAACGATCTTAGATCTAAAATAAGAAACGGCCGCCGCGTCCTCACAGCCAAACGCTCACAATCAGCCAATGAGGGCCGCTGAGGTTGCCATGGAGATTTCATCCCAAACATCCAAGAGACAAACCGATCAAACGAAGAAAAAAAAAATCAGATTTTTCTCTCTTATTATAAATGAACTCAGAAATCCACCATTTCTTCTCGTTTTCTGTATATTCAGCAGTAATTTTTACCGCTATGGTGTGAAATTAACTCTGAACTTTGACTCCTATCTTCATCTGGTCCCCTAGCAACGGTAACCAGGCAACCCTTCGAAAACATTCTCAAATTACCCAGAAACTCCTGCACTGTTGCATAGCAACAACATCCCGTTTAAGCCTTGTTTGAGTTGCTCTGATGTTTAAATTCATCACCAGCTGAAAATCAGAGAAACAGCCGATTTAAAATGTCTTCATATCTTTAAAGGTCGATATTAGTGGGCAAAGTGACACCTAGTGGTGCAAAGGCTGAACTGCAATCTTCTCCACTGTTGCAAAGTTACACTTTGGAGATTTAATCTGGATTTTTAATCTAGAAACCAGATTTTCCAAACCCTAAAATGAGAGCAATTTGTAAAAGTTTGAAAATGTTGAATTAAAACAAAAAAAATTCAATAATTGTAATGAAAAAACAACCAAAACTGCATAAAATATATTTACATTTAAAATAAAAACCTTCTTTGTCTTTCAGTATGTTTTAGCTTCACCTGGTTTGAATTCTATCATTTTCAGCAATAAAATGTTTATTTTCTTCTTAATCGTTTATTCGGATCCTTTAATGGATTTCTGATGTTGTGTAAATTACTACTCAGCAGAAAGTGCCAAATAATATCCGATTAATCATCAAAAGAATTGTTAGTTGCATTTCTAGAGTTATTCCTGCATTTCTGGCTGCAACATTTCCCAACAAACAGGAACAGATTTTAATCCTGGTTTGTTCCAGAAAATGTTTCTTTGTGGAAACGTTCAGGAGTTCGTAAGAAAAGACAAAATCATAAAAATGACAAAAAACGGAAAGCAGTCAGCAGATTTCGCCATGTGCTGAGCGTTACAGGAATCTCAGCGCACAAGTCCGAACTAGACATCCATGACTCCGAGTTTCAACGTTCGCACTGCGCCTGAATGCATCAGCAGAGGCAGATTTTATTGCCTCCGGCTCTGTAAAAAGGGCTTGTTTCTCGATGACGCGCCGCACGTCGAAGCTGCAAGCCTCGACGAGTCAGGACTCAGGAATCTGAAGCTTCCCTGATGATCACCACGAAAATACGAAAGCTTGAACGTGTCACAGCAGGAGGCGAGTTAAAGATCAGAGATAAGCTTCCAAACGCCTAATTTTACCGTCAAATAACAATAAACTCAACAGGAAGCTCAAATGAGGTGCTAGGTGGACTTTTACTGGTATTTAAATTATGATTTAAATCCAATCAAAAGCCTAGATTAAGTTTTCAGTCGAGTCCGAAACAACAGCTGCTGTTACTCCTCATACGTTTGAATATAAATGTTTAATTTATGCAGTTTTCTCCCAAAAATATAGAGAGAAGAAGAAGAAATTACAGCAATAAATTGAAAGAAAAGCAAATATTTACACAGGTAAATATGTAAATAGGTTTTTGTTTTAGATTAGCACCAATAGAAATTACATTTTATTTTAATTTTTGTTTAATAAAAAGGCTAAAAAATGAAGTAATGATTTAAACTTAGTTAAAAAGAAAACCAAATAGTCTGAATATCAGAATCATTCAGTTTTCCCTCAAGGTAATGAAATATCTGATTTTCTTTTTAAGTCATCAAAACTGAGAATTTCCACCATTTTTAACCTGAAATCAAACAGCAGCAGAACTTTGAGTTTAATAACATAGTAAATTATATAATAAGTATAATCCAGAGACGGGGATAATCCTGTAATTTCTTTGTTTATAAATAAATCCATCAGATTTCTCTTCACAAATTAACAGTTTTTATTTTTCTTTGCTCCACAAACAACTGCAGTCTCAGAAAAACGATCAACTTTAAATCTCTGAAAGCTGAAAAACAATTAAATAAGTTGATTAAAGAATGACTTTGACTCATCAGTTATAAAGATTCCTGCTGAATATTTCATTAAAATATCTCTAATAAAACCAAAACTGAGATCTGCTTATCGTTCACTTCTGCATTCAGGTGTTAAAAGAAAGTTTATAAAAAGATCAATCATTTTAATCCAGTGTGATCATTAATATTAATCTCAGTGCTAGAAGAATTAAACAGATAAAACAGCAGCTGAAACGTGACGTTTAATGGTTTTCTATTAAACTAGTTTAATAGAAAACCAGTAAGTTATTTATAGCGAGAATAAATAACTTTTTTAAACAGTTTGGTTCCACTTTGTGTGATAATCACCAACATCTGTCAAGATAATGTATTTTTGTTTGATTTCTGGGTAATTTGAAGCAAACATGTATTTCAGTCTGTAAAATGTTTTAGTTTTAATTAAAGCAACAGAAAACCAATTTGCCCAGTCAGGCTTGAACTGGTGGAAACTGTTCAACTTCTGCTTCTCTGGAGCTCAGAAAGTTTAACTTCACTAATTTATCAAATGTTTAGTTTCAAACTGCAGCACAGAAACTGAAAGAAGCTCGTTTTCATGCTCAGCTGTGACAAGTTCATGTTTTTAGTCAACAATTTCCTCTTTATTTTCTATTTTCACCCAACTTTGACATTTGAACTCTGTTCTTGTAAACAAAACATTTTTATTTTTGCTAAAATAAATAAATAAAAGCTCAGGTCAGATCTTGTAGATAAATTTACATTTTTCTTCAACTTTATCCAGAGCTAAAGTTAAAGGTTAATATTAATGGTTAATGTATTAAATAAAAAACTTTAAAACGCTCATCTATTTCTGCTTAATCAACTAATTAAAATTGTTTTTGTCTCATTTTCAGGACTTAACTCTAATATTTATTTGTTAAATAACTTTGTCTTAAATGTGATTTTCTAACTGGACAAACTTCATCATGAATACTTTTGCTTAACGTTTAAAATAAGTTCAGGATTTATTGGGATTATTTTCTCTAAATATTATTGAAAGACATAAATTACAGCAGAATTTTGTATTTTTACTCCCTCAGATTTGATTATTTGTTAATTTTATTATCATTTCAGATTAAGTTGCTGTTATATCGATATGAAAGACACTGAGTTTGTCCTTCGCCTGCATGCCCACACATGTTGGTGCCAGACTTTATTTGTGTTGTTTGTTGGTTCTGACACCAGCATCTGCAGTTTGTTTATATGTGACACAACAGGCCCAGTTGGTGATTAAACAGAACTTTATCAGAACCTATTGTTTTATGTCATCACCATGCAGCTTCATTAGCCCGCCTGCCTTTTTTCCTGTTTCCTGACTGCAGGTTAATCTGCTGGGCTGAACTTGGACCGAACCGCTCAGATCCTGAGTCCAGCAGAACTAGGTGGGGCCTGTCAATACTCCTCTGTTTGCTGCTGACATTACAGCAAGCAAGGGAATAAACCCGAGCTTTGTGTGGAAATAACAGACCCAGTGTGAGGCAGACAGGATCCTCTGAACTCCTCCACTCAGTCTCACTTCACTTCCTTTCTTTATCCTCCAGCGGAGCAGCGGGGGTTCCTGCGTGCGGCGGCCGCCCCACAGCGCTCCCTGCCCGGGCTGCGCATGCGGCAGGCCCCGCTGCCCTGGAGAACCTGATGCAAAGTGTAAGCGAGAGCCCCAACATTCTGCTAGCGATCGGACACAGAGTCGGAACCGGGGAGACAGCCGCCCTGATGCTTCCCGGCTGCCTAAAATCCGTTAGCTGTCCGTCGGTCTGTCCGCCGGTCGGTCGCTTCCGCAAACCCAGCCCAGCTCTGTTCGCCTCGGCACCGGCCTGTCCACCTCCCTGACCGCTCCTGTCCGTCTAAACCAGCCCTCCTACGACCGGAGGTTAGCCTCCATCCAATAAATGAGGATGAAATCAGAAGAAAGGGGAGAAAAAGGAGGAAATCAGAAGCGGCAGTACTTACAGTCATCCACCCGTCCGCTGTGCTGCGCGTCGCTCTCTCTCCCGCTCTCTGTGAAGCTCTCTCGCACAGAGCCGCTCCCTCCTGCCGCTCCTGCGCGCTGACGTCAAGTTGGACGCTGTAAACGTGACAGCTGCCGGAAAAACCTTTCAAAATAAAACCATCAACGAACCAGAACATGTTCCAAGGGGAAAAACATGTCCTCCAAACAACAAATGTTTGTTCATATAGCACATTCACAACAACGTGCTTCACAATAATTACACCAACAGAGATAGATGCAAGATAAAATAAATAAAATTAACTTGATTGAAAAAATAAAATTAGCAGTAAAATTCCAGGAAAAATAATTTTGAGCTTATTTAAATTCAACTGCTTTGAATATTCTATTTGGAGTTTGATTTGTGTGATGGACAGGTGATGTGTTCGGAAAGTCATTTAGAAAGATAAACTTTGTATTGAAATTATACAAGAATAGTTTAATTTCAATCAACCGATCAGTCAATTGTATTTTTGGACATATTTAGATTTTTTTTTAATCAATGGCTGCTTGGTAGATAAAATACTGGCATCATTACTTCATAGCCATAAAGTCTGGTGTTCAAAACCCAAACTAAATAGTTTCAACGCACAAACTTGTCTTTTTGACAAAATTAATATATATTCATTCATTGGAAACATAATTAATAAGATCAAATGAAAGTAAAACTGTTTAAAATGTTAAATAATCATTTCACTTTATCATGTAACAAAAACTGGTTATATTCCAGAAACTTCTGTTGTTTGTACATTTCAGAAATTAGTTTGGATGACAACATAGTTTTTTTGTTAGTTTTATAATTTAAAATACATTTATAAAACTAAGACGGGAAATTCTTAGCATCTTGCTTTAAAATGATATAACTTACTTTCACATGTAACAGCAATAGATTCAGTTATTCTGGCCACTTGGTTTTTATTATTTTGGTTACACTTTATTTTGAAGGCAGAAAGTCTAATTTCCGGCTTTGCTCTAATTCTGTCATTTAACATCTTTTTTCAATCTTTTACAGCTGCTTCCCGCTTCCTGGAGCATAAATTACTTTTATTCTGTTTCAGTTTAATTTCAAATATTAGAGGAACACAACCAATGTTTAAAAATCCATAACAGAAAAGCTTTTCCTTGTCAAAATACTCTGAAGTCATGGAAAAGATGTTAGTTTAGCCACAAGAAAGCCACTAATCAGTGATGCTGAGTGTATAAAATGGCTTCAATTTGCAGGAAAGCCTGGACAAAGGTCATGTGGTCCAGATTTACCCTCTTCCACGCTGATCGGCTCATCGGGGTTAGAAGAAAGGCTGATACTGTAGCTGCCTGTGGGGTCAACTCTGTGACCTGAGGTTTCTGCAGTTGGTCAGGTCAAAGTTCAACAACATGATGAGGTCAGCAGTCTACCTGAAAGTGCTAAACGACCTTATTTAAAATGGATTGTTTCTTCACTGATGACACAGGGATATTCCAAGTTGTCAATGCAGGCTCCTTTTTGTCCTGGAAGAGAATTTCCTGCCAGGTCTTACAGGAAGAAAACATAATCAAAATAAACATTGTTGCTGCTGTGTGAGTTGCATCAGAGTACACTTTGATGAACCTGAGGATTACGCAGTGGAGCAACATAGAATCTACAGCGTAACATAAACAGGTTAATTATGGTAAACAGAAGAAAACTCTGGTTTGGCTTTTCCCAAACTAGCAATTGAGGTAAAGCAGAGCAACACCAGAGTTGTTTGCTCTCTTGGTTGCTGGTTCTCCAACTTTATTGCTTCACTGTAACTTTAAAACTTCAAAATGCTGCATTTTACTCAGAAAAAATATCTATCTAATATTCAGGTCCAGCAATTTAATGTACTGGAGTTCCTCAGGGCCCGACTCTCGGCTCACTTTCATTTCCATTGCTTTGTGGATGACGCAATAACATTTCAGTCCGATTCTTGTCTTATTTAGTTCAAGTCTGATTTGTGATTCTGATCGTGGATCTTTCACTCAACACATAAGAACATATATAGAAGATAAATTCAATTGAAAATCTGAAATGTTTTGACAGATGTAAATAAAGTTTATTAATGCAACAAAATAATGTAAACTATCATTTCTCTTTACAGTTACAGCAGTTAAAAATTGTGTTATATTTAAGTATCTATTTTTTCTCTCCATTTTGAGATGGTGAGTGGGCAGGAACTGTGAAATATTTGTCCTTCCTGTTTGCAGTTTGTGTCAAAGTGACAACAGAAAGAACCGAAAATGACGTGGCGATCTGGGTGGGCGTCACAGTGATGCTAACGCCTCGACGGCCCCATATGCTTCTCAGTTACTGAAACTGATCTTCAAAAAGCCAGCATATCTGCAGGATGTCCAGTCAGCCGAAGCCCCGCAGGACGAGGCGTTTTCTGCTGTGAAGCCACACCCAAACAGGAAGGAGTCACCGAGAATAGAGCGGCCCTCCACCCAACCAGCTTCCCTTTCACTGACACACACTTCCTCTAAGTCTGTTTGCTTCATGCAAACTTTGCTCATTTTCACCCAAAACTACAAAAATAAATAACCTGGACGCAACAAAAGAGGAGATTAAATATCCTTGCTGTTAAATTGTGACACTGGATCATTTTTATCTTGTTTTTTCCCCCAAATGAAATCTGCTCCCTCCCACACAGCTCTCACCTTTTCTACAGGCGGCCCATCAGAGCAGAATAAATTATCGAGCTTCAAAGAGGTAAAATCATCAGCATGTCAATGATCTGGCTCCAGCCTCGCCGATATTCACATGTTGCTAAGAGACCAGATGAATGAGCATCACTGAGTTTGTTTACTCTCTAACGAGTTTCTGCCTCATTTAAGGAGCCAATCAGAGGCAGAAGCAGCTGAACGAGAAGCAAGTCATCTGATGGAAAATGCATCTTCAGGTGAACACTGGCCAGGTAAGAAGCTGAGCTTTATTCACAGGAAATATCTCAAACTCAGCGCTGAAGTGAACTTTGGCTCCCTCTGCTGTGGAAACAGAGCAGAAACTTTACAATACGGGTGTCCAGAATAAAAAATAAAACCAAGAAGGTTATTTTTTATCTACTCAACAATAAACTCAGCATTATCTATTTTAACTAAATATATTATCACATATTTTTTATAGGGACAGGATTGTTTTCTTTGTGAAATTGTTACATTTCAGACTCAATTGAAGAAAACTGGAAACTGTTCTCAAGAATAAAAAGCTGTTCTAGATGTAAACCTCTAAAGTTAGGTTTATTTTAGAGTATTAATGGACAGATGTGGAGAATAGAAGAAAACCAAAAAGCTTGGAAATGATTATTACTTTGTGTATTTTGGGTTCTTAGATTTTACCTTTGAAACTCCCAAAATTTAGTTTTCTTCTGAAAAAACAGCCATCAAATATTTTGTATGGAAATTCCTCAGGGCTCTAATCTCGGCTCACTGTTACAGTATGTTCATTGCTTTGTGGATGACAATGACATATTTCAGTCTAATCCTAGTTTTATTTGTTTAGTATTGTTCTACAGAAAGGAGTAGTTTTTAATATAAAAGTTCTAGTTTTGTGCTAAGTAATTCTGGTGCCGCCATCGGCCCCCTGTCCCTACTTTGAACTCCCTTAGTTAACAATTGTGTGACCGAACTATTAATTTCTCACCTTTGTAAAGAGTTTCCAGGATCAGTTTCAGATTTGACTGAATCCTGTTTGTGACCAGCAGTTCAGTGGAAACATTACAAAAACTAAGGAAATGATCTAATTTAGCAGCTCATGCTGACACACGCTGGGATTTCCTCACCACGGTGAAGCAGGATGACTTCCAGTTTCAACATGAAAATATTTCCCAACATCTTCTCCCTCGATGTTCACCTCAGGTCAGAAATAGATCCTGTTTGAAGATATTAGTTTCTCCCTAAAGCAGAATTAGATTGCAGAACTGTTAATGTTGTACACAACTCAAAATATGCATTTTAAGTTAATTATCTAGAAAACACCTTATATCCAAGTTTTAAACAATGTTTTAAAATGTAGTCATAAAAATGCATTTTTATGAAATACACATGCAACATTTTTGGTTAAAACATTACAAGCTACAAGCTTTTTGAATTAATTTTCTATAATAATCAAATAATTTATTGAAGAAAAATTTTACTTTGGGAATTAGCTATTTTTACAACTGAACTTAAGGCATTTATTGATATTTTCTTTCTTTGTGTTAAGGAAAATAAATTAGCTTTTTAGCACATCAGTTATGCCATGTAGCATTGTGGCTACATATTTAGCTTCTCAGGCTGCAGTTTAAAAAAATATTTCAAACATGAAAAAACTGTAAACTGTTTCACTTGAAATTCTAATAATTTTGACTGACAAAGTATTTTGTTTTATGAACTCACTTTGCTTTTTGCCGTCTATGGAGCTAAATTAATGTTTATCTTCAAACACCAAAGATAAACACTGCTATTTTAATTATATTAGCTGAACTGTTTGGAAATGATTATTTGGAAAAGTTTTTATTTGATAAAGTAACGGATTATTGCCAAACAAATTAAAAAGGCCAAATAAGATTTCTTAGGCTCTTTTTTTCCTATATGTAATGCAGTTTTTAACGCAAGTTTTTTTTATAGAATCGGATTCAAACACAAATAAAGCAGTCGGAGTACGTAGGCAGGCAGAAATGGACCTTTTTTTATTTTTCTCGGGTGATAAACAACAGTGGATTGTCCTGACCAGACCAAACCGGATTAAACCGGTCCAGGCCAGACTAAAATAAGCGAGACTCAGTAGAACCAAAACCCAACCACAGCTTACCAGACCGAACCGGCCGGAACCGGATCAAGGCAGCTGAACTCCCAGAACAGCCAACAGAAAATCAATACTTTGTTTTACTCTATGTAACCATGGCAACAGCCAGCGTGGTCCAGTCGGGTCTGGTCAGAAGTAACCTGGTCCGGTCAGAAGTAACCTGGTCCGGTCATCTCTCCTCTTTCTTGCTTCCTTCCCTCCTTGGATTGAAGAAGTCAAGGGCACATCTACTTAATCAGCAGAACAACGGAGAAGCT